ATGTTCTCACGTTAAGAGATGTTTTCACTTGAGAGTGCATTATAAAGAAGTCTACGTGTTCTCACTTGAGAGAGAGAGAGATAGAGATAGAGAGATAGAGATAGAGAGATAGAGATAGATAGAGAGAGATAGAGATGGAGAGAGATAGAGATGGATAGAGGTAGAGAGAGACTACATTTTAACATATTTTCTCTTTTTTTCTAATTTTTTTAACAAAAAAATTATTTTATCATCAATTTAAAAAAAAATTAGAAATTATGATAACATAATTTTTTTTTTTGTGCATCGTACAAATAAAATACTAGTTCTACTTTATCAATACATGTATATACCATAGTTTATGCATCTATTACTTATTAATTTTTTTTCCTTTTTGTGTTGCTGTATAGAGATCCACAATAAGCATGCCAATGGAATGATATTGATATGTGATGAATAAGATATGGCATGATTGTGTGAAGGTGGATATGTTTGTCAAACTGAATTTGTAATTTACTATTTTGTATTAGTTTATTAGATTAGACACTTAGGTTATCATTACTTTTACAATACTCTCTCACTTTTAAAAATGAGTCCACATTCACATCATCAATTTTGTAATTTATTCAGTATTTGTCTTTACATATGATAGATACCCCTGGTTGAGCACCCAACCAGGTACGACGTAGGCAGTCGGGTGGAGGCGCCTAGGACACTTAGCGATGTAGAGAATAAGACCCCTATCGGTCTGACGATCGCATGGCCCTCGGGTGACTCACTAGTCGGTTCGGTTGGGCCACCAGACTAGGCAGTTGGTGTGTCCCCGATTGAGTGCGTGCTTCGGATGCGGTTAAAAACAGATTCAGCGGAAATTCTTTTCTTACATGCCAAGTAACATCCTTTTTCACATTAAGAAGGTACCGTGATAGTTTTGGAAGTTTTTTTAACGTTTATTTTAGCTAATTTCATCTTTCTTGCCTTCTTCAAGGTCATATTCCTTGTATAAATACCCCCATGGGGTCTCATTATAAGGGGTTCTGAATTCAATACAAGAACCATTATTCCATCCATTTTCTCTCCCAACTCTTACTTAGCATTTTATGATAGTGTTGGCCCGCTGACTGGCTATCCCTAAGCCCTAAAACCAACATTGGCGTCGTTCGTGGGGATCAAAACAAAAGGTTTTGTTTCTAAACTTTGCTAAATGGCACGAACTAGACGCAGTAGACGCTCAAGGAATACTAGCTATGCCGCTGAAGCCCCTACGACCAACGGGCACATCGCCGTTGTTGTCAGTGTGGGAGAGCGGTCGGCTAGTAGTCGTGCCTCCGTGGAGACCTTCGAGAATAGCTTAGCGGCCATAATTCCGGCGAGAAGTCGGTCGCACGTACAGAAGTTATTGTTGCGCCGATTCATGAGACACCAAGGGAGGACTCCCCTCCGCCGGTCGCCCAAGTCGCCCCGACCCTCGCAGAAGTATTGGCTCATGCATTTGACACGTATGCATGAGAGGCCGGCTTGGTAGCAAATGCCGCTTAGCCTAGGCCCGTTCGATCGGTTCCTCTAGAGCGAATGGGCATTCTGACTCCCTAGCTTCTGAGCATTCAGTGCGATCAGAGGGATATTCTCTAGGCCATCTTCAGTTGGCACGGTCCGTACACTCATGATTAGGGCCCGCAGCTCCTGCCTAGTTAACCTTGGATCGACTGCGCGGTCGAGCTAGACACCGCTCACCCACCCGTCCAGCCGGGGAGTTAGGGAGCGATCCAACGTGGAAGCGTTGCGAGCAGTCATTTAGAGATGTATAGCCTCTCGACGTAGGTAGGAAGCCGTTGCTATGGACAGAGCGAAAAGTAGTAGAGAATTGCCAGCCAAGCAGGGGCAAGCGCCGCCCCTCGGGGCTGACTTAGCGGCAGAAATCAGAAACAGAAGATAGAGGGGAAAGACAAACCAACTGCTAAGACGTTACTAATCGCATCACTGTTTTAAGCGGAAGTCTTGGCTTACCAAGCTTGGACGGGTTTCAAGTTGCCCAAGAACCCGACTTACGATGGATACCGAGACCCGCACGATCACGCTATCAACTTCCAGGCTAAGATGCAAGTCGTCGGGGCAGAAGACCCAATGATATGCAGGGCGTTCTTTACCACTCTGGTTGGCCCAGCGCAGCGTAGGTTCTAGACTCTATCTTCGGGATCAATTACCAATTTTGAGGGGTTAGCAGATCGGTTTTTGACACATTTTGTCAGAAGTATAAAGCCCAAGAGATATATCATGGACTTGTCCAAAGTGAACCAAGACGAAGGAGAGAGCATGTGCAAGTACATAGCGCGCTAGCAGAAGGAAGCCCAAGCAGTCGAGGGTTTGGATGACAAGACTGCCTTAACCTTTGACGGTTGTGGTTTTTCTGGGGGTGTGATGGAAAGAAGAGTCGGAATAAAGATTCCCGAGTTGTCGTACTCAAGGAATGATAACATGGAAGCGTTGAGAAATGGTCACAGTGAGGTTGGTCATATTTCAAGATTCTTGGTCAAGAAAGTGTATGGTTTAGTTGAAGGTTTAACAAGAGAGGAATAGGAAAATGATGCTTAGAAAAGGGATTAAAACAATAATAAGGTAAAATAGATTAGGATTTTCGTGCCGATTGCAATGTGTGATTGGCTTATTCCGCAATACGGGAGGTTGTGGTGATTGAATGTTGGGTTACAAGTCAAGAGGAAAGGTGCTAGTGCGTAGCCATTCCGATCTATACGCCTCCCATAGGAGGATATGACACCCAGGTGCTCATATTCTCTACGGAGCAATTTCACAAACACCTTGCCTACATTCCTTCCCGAACCATGTCCTCTCGGATCTAGGACGGGGAATGTAGGAGGATCAAGAGGCCTACCTAGGTTTAGCAATCTCTTGCCTAAACCTAAGAATTCAACATCATCCAAAGAGTTGGGCCCCACTCCAAGGAAGCTACAAAGATCATCCTCCAGAACAAAACATACATAACCACAACAATCAATCTTCACAATATAGCAATTCAATACATGCCAATCCTCACATAAGCAATCTACACTACAATCTTAATCTCTAGAATTTTAACCACTCATAATCAAGCTCAACAATCTAAACATTTGCAAAATAGGCATCAACAAACTAAAGCAATGAAGTGGTATAGATCAAGAGTTTACCCAAAATTGCAAAGCTAGAATGTCAAACCAATGGAATAGAAGATGAAGATCTTGCAAGGGATTGCTTGAATCCTCTCTTCCTCTTACAAATTTGACAGTGTTCTAGGGCTAAATTCAAGTGAGAGAAAATTTGGAAACTAATCTAGATTTGAAAATTGTGGAACTCCCCTTGCAAAATGACCTAAAACGGCTTTAAATCTCCCAGCGGGCGTAAGAGGGAACTTATTCCCTTTCTTCGCGCTTCTCTACTCCGTCCTTTTTACGCCGCCCACACGCCGTGGCAGCGGCGTAATTGGGAACTTAAACCCCTTCCATGCGCGCTTCTTCTTGCTGGCTTGATTACGTCGTCCTCACGTCGTGAGGACGACGTAAATGGGTTTTAAAACCCTCTTCTTCTCTTCTTACGTGTGTGGCTCGTGGTGTTTTGCTCCGATACTTCTCCATCACGTCGTGACTTGGGCGTGACCGGGGTCTTGGTGCGTGTTTTTCTGATTTTTTTCATTTTTTATCCTCCTTTGCCACTTTTCTTGTCCAAAAATACCTAAAAACATAAAAAGTATAATTGGGAAGGTTTCTTCGTGCAACATCGCATTTTTAGGGTAAATCTCTATAAAGAACACGACTTTAAGGCTAAATCATGCTTAAAATGCCTTCGAAATGCTCTTAAAAATTAGCATCTTTTGACGCTTATCAACCTTCTTCATTGAATTCTTGTGAGTAGACAGTCATTACAGCAAGTTACGAGATAAGAATCCTAAGACCTATGGCCAGGCCATCTAGAGGGCCAACCAGCTCGCTGACACCGAGGAGGTAGCCAAGCAAAAAGGAAGCATGAAAGGTCATCTACGAGCAAACGACATCGATCAGGTAACTCTCGTGACAATCGACCAAAAGAGACAAGTGGTGCGCGCGTGAGAACCCGTCGAGTACAAGATTGACTAGCCCTCCCCCCCCCCCCCCCTACAGGTCGTTGGCACAACCCGTCCACAAAGTTCGCGACAAGTTGCCACCGCCACCTAGGCCGGGTGATAACCCGCAAGTCGTCGATCCAAACGCGAGTCCCTACTATAGATACCATCGCACGAGCACTCACACAACAAAGGGTGGAAGTCTTAAGGAAGAAATTGAGCCACTTATCCAACGTGGTCGGACGGTATCTCCCAACTAGTGACGCCGACCAGGGTTGCCTTGGTACAACAAAGTCGCGCCTCGACTGACTAGCAGGGCAGTTGACAAAGGCAAACAACCAGTCTGGGAGGAGGACCAGTAGAGAAAAACTGGAAACGTAAGCTAATTATCGACATGATAGTCGACGGACTAGAGGGTGGAGACACGGTAGGCGCTCGGAAATCATGGGCCAAACAACTATACGTGGGAGCGATTGCCTTATAGGAGTCGGATTGCAAGTGTTAGCAATATTATTATTATTTCTATTATTATTAGTTTGTTATTATTCTTATGTTGACTAGTCTTGTAATAGGCTTAGTCTTCCTAGTTGTTAGGGGTTACTTAGAGTTGTTACAGTATTTGAGTTGTAATCCTTATCGTTGTCACTGTTGAATGAAAACTGATTTATCTCATCTGGTATCAGTTAGACCATGGAATTAATTTTTCTCTCTCCTCTCACCATCCTTGGCCGATCCTCTCCCCAAAACGGTCGACAATATGTCCACCAATTCTTCCGAGCGCACTGTCACCTCCGGTGGAACCCCCTCTTCTCCGGCCTCAAGCCAAAATTCATTAAACAGTGCTCACCATTTTGTTTCGATAAAACTAACTTATCGAAATTTTTTGTTTTGGAGAACCCAATTGGTTCCCTTTTTACGTGGTCAGGAACTAATGGGATTTGTCGATGGCGAGAATCCATGTCCTCCCGCGATGATCGACTCCCCTCCGGCCACTGGTGAATCTGCTGCCTCAACCTCGACACCGGTCCCAAATCCGGCGTACAAGGCGTGGATCAAGCAAGATCAAACGCTGCTTTCCCTTCTCATCTCATGCCTCTCGGATGAGGTGATGCATTTGGCGGTCGGCAAATCCACCTCCAAAGATGTCTGGGAAGCGATCAACGCCGGTCTCGGAAGCTCCACTCGCGCTCGCACGCTTGGTCTCCTCGGCCAGTTTCATGGCCTCCGGCAAGGCGAGAGTAGCACGGCGGAATATCTAGGCCGCGCCCAGCTGCAAGTCGAGGATCTCGCCCACGCCGTTCGCCCGATATCGCTGGATGAACAGAACATGTTTGTTCTCCGGGGATTGCGTCCAGAATATCGTGCGATGGCTTCATCGCTCACGGCGTCTGGGAATTCCGTAACTATTCCGCAAATTGCGGACTATCTTCGAGCTCAAGAGTTTCTGCATGCGGATGATTACCCGGCAGGTTCAGACCACAACTCGTCGTCTGCTTTTTATGCTTGCAGAGGCAGAAACTCCGGTCGCGGCAGTGGCAATTCTGGCCACAATTCCGGACGCGGTAGTGGCAGTGGAGGACGTGGCAGCGGCAATCATGGCAGAGGCGGTAGGGGCGGTCGGAATGGTGGCCGTGGCGGGGCTCCTCGGTGCCAAATCTGCCGTGCACAAGGGCACACGACAGTTTACTGTTACAAGCGGTATGCCCCGCAACCGCCGGCACAAGCGAACCTTGTGGTTCCCGGAGAAGAAGAAGGCAGTACGGGTGGTTCGGGTTGGTTCCCGGATACGGGGGCCACCGCCCATGCCACGCCGGATGCATCGATGATGGCACAATCGGATGAATATACGGGTGGTGATGTGCTGCGTGTTGGTAATGGCGCAAGTTTGACGATCTCACGAGTTGGCCATGCTTCTATATCATCATTGTCTAAAACACTACATCTAAATAATGTCTTACATGTTCCTAAACTTTCCGTCCCGTTATTATCTGTTTTCCGTCTAACAAATGATAATCGTGTTTTTGTTGAATTTCACAAGGATTGTTTCATTGTGAAGGACTCGGTCACTCGGGCGGTTCTGCTTAGAGGTTTCACATCGGGCGTTTATACAAGCTCCCGGTTTCGCCGTCTCAGTTTTCTTTTCTCACTTCCCGTGCTACACCGGTCGTCTGGCTTCGCAGGTTGGGCCATCCCCATGCACATGTCCAGAATCAAGTCCTAAAATCGTGTCCAGTTACACCCAATAAAAACGTACCGGGCGGGTTGTGCAATTCGTGTCAACTTGGCAAGTCATCAAGGTTTCCACTAGATAGGGTCTCATTATCCAGTAGTAATGTATTAGATTTAATCTATACGGACATATGGGGTCCGGCTCCTGTAATCTCATCTAGTGGATTTCGATATTTCCTGCTTTTCGTAGATGATTATTCCCGCTTTTGTTGGTTTTATCCCCTACGGATAAAATCCGATATATATAAAAGTTTCGAGTCGTTTCCAGTCATGGTAGAACGCCAATTTTCGCGTTCTATCAAATCTGTTCAGTCTGACTTAGGCGGTGAATACCGCAAGTTACATACCACATTTGAAAAGTTAGGCATTATTCACCGTCAATCATGTGCGTATACGCACGAACAAAACGGTAGAGTTGAGCGTAAAAACCGCCACATTATTGAAACAGGGCTAGCTTTGCTAGCCGAAGGCTGTGTCCCGCAACAATACTGGGATTATGCTTTTGAAACGGCAACAACTCTAATCAATTATTTACCCACTACAGTCTTAAACTTTGAGAGTCCCTACACTCGTCTCTATAAAGCCAAGCCACCATACACGTTTCTCCGTGTCTTCGAGTGCCGTTGATATCCCTATCTTAGGCCCTACAACAGGCATAAGATGGATTTTTGCTCGGTGCCCTGTGTCTTCTTAGGTTATCCACCTTCCTTTAGGGGGTATAGGTGCATGGATTTAACAAGTGGGAAAGTCTATATCTGCCGTCATGTGCGGTTTGATGAGACTGTTTTCCCTTTTTCAGAGTTAACAGCTACAAATGCAGGTTCAGTGATATCTGCCGCCCCACCCTGGCCTGCTGCTCCAGTCATAACTTACTCATCACCCACAACTATGATGGAATCCGGCCCACAAAGGCCACTCAGTCCAACACCGTTGGCGCAAGAGTAAACTCCTCTGGCTATAGAAGGGCCTGTCAGGGCCGTGACTCGCAGAAAGCGGGCAGCTAGAACTGAGCCACAAGATCGTGGCCACACTATGCGACTGCGTCACATGACTCGGGGTACGGGGGAAGAGCTTCAAGCTCTTAGCGCTATCGCTGAGCCTTCTTGCTATTCCCAGGCAGTTGGGCATCTAGAATGGCGTGATGCGATGGACCAGGAGTTCAACGCACTGTTGCACAACAACACATGGGCTCTTGTACCTCCCACACCCGATATGAACATCATTGGTTGCAAGTGGGTGTTTCGTACTAAACGCACCGCTGATGGTTCAGTGGAACGGTACAAAGCTCGTCTTGTTGCAAAGGGCTTCAATCAGGTGGCTGGTGAAGATTTCTTTGACACGTTTAGCCCTGTGGTCAAGCCAACTACAGTCCGATTCCTGTTTTCACTAGCTGTATCCCGGAATTGGACACTGAGACAGCTTGATGTCCATAATGCCTTTCTAAATGGGCACTTGGCTGAAACTGTCTACATGAAGCAACCCCCGGGTTATGAAGACCCGACACACCCAGATCACGTGTGTCACTTACAGCGGTCTCTATATGGGCTCAAGCAAGCTCCCCGAGCCTGGTTCAAGAGACTGCATGACTATCTAATCTCTGCAGGGTTTTCGTCATCGAAGACAGATGTATCCCTATTCTATTACGCCTCTGCTGACTCCCGCGTATACTTGCTGGTGTACGTTGACGACATTATTATGATGGGGAATGACTCGTCACTTATTCAATCTCTTCTGAATCGGCTTTCGTTGGTTTTTAAAATCCGAGACCTTGGAACACCTGGGTTCTTCCTCAGCATTGAAACAATAAAAACTGACACGGGGCTCATGTTGTCCCAACGCAGGTATATGAAAGATATTTTGGCCCGAGCAGGCATGACTGACTGCAAACCGCTAGCTACCCCGGCTGCGGTTTCTCATTCTATCTCATCGACTACTGCCGCACATGACAACCCGACTCAGTACCGACGTGTAGTTGGAACACTTCAGTACTTGACCATCACTCGCCCCGACCTGTCCTACGCTGTGAATCGGCTGTGCCAGTTTATGCACTCGCCAACAGCTGAACACTGGATTTTGGCAAAGAGGGTACTACGCTACATTAAGGGTACCCTAGACTATGGATTGCAGCTCACGGTGTCTGAGTCATCTGCCATTCATGCATACTCTGACTCAGATTGGGCGGGGTGTCCGTTAGACAGGAAGAGCACTGGCGGGTACGCGGTGTTTCTTGGGGACAATCTCATCTCATGGCTTTCCAGAAAGAAGCGCACAGTAGCACGCTCGTCGACTGAAGCTGAGTATAAAGCCCTAGCTGATGTTGCAGCTGAGGTTACCTGGGTTGTGTCGTTATTACGGGAACTAGGGCTTCACACTGGTACCCCACCGACGTTATGGTGTGACAACCTAGGGGCCACTTACATGTGTGCAAATCCAGTCTTCCACACCAGGACGAAGCACGTGGAAATCGACTTTCATTTCGTCCGCGACAAGGTCACAGCCGGTGATCTAAAGGTCAGCTATGTTTCGACAAGGGATCAGTTAGCGGATATCTTCACAAAGCCGCTACCGGGGCCCCGCTTCGCGGTTCTACGTAGCAAGCTCAATGTTGTGGCATGCCACCCTTGTGCTTGAGGGGGTGTGTTAGCAATATTATTATTATTTCTATTATTATTAGTTTGTTATTATTCTTATGTTGACTAGTCTTGTAATAGGCTTAGTCTTCCTAGTTGTTAGGGGTTACTTAGAGTTGTTACAGTATTTGAGTTGTAATCCTTATCGTTGTCACTGTTGAATGAAAACTGATTTATCTCATCGCAAGAGACCTTGCCGAGAGCTGATCACCTTCACATATGAGGACCTGCCGAGGGTTCTGACTCCATACAAGGACACCTTAGTAGTCGCGGTGGATATACAAGGAACGGTGATCATACGAGTCTTGGTGGATACAGGCAGTAACGTGAACGTGTTATACTTGGAAACCTACAAGAAATTGGGATTGTCTATGGAGCAATTGTGACCAGTCAGAACCCCAAAGATGGGTTCACGAGAGATGCGACTAGGTACCTGGGCGCATGTGAGAAAGCTGGACTTGGAATATGCGCACGACGTAATCCTCGGTCAGCCAGGTTTATAGGACTTGGGCGCCTTAGTTTCCATCGAGCACTTACGCATGAAATTTCGCTCCCCGACTAGCGTCGGAGTGGTGCGCTGTGACCAGAAGCTGGGTAAAAACTATTATTTGCAGGCCTACCGCAAGGTAAGATAGAGCGACTTGCGGATTAACACGATTGCCCACTAGGTGGCCGAACGAGTAGTCGAACGCCCCTCACCGGCAGTCGAGTTGGAGGGGATCATTCTATATCTTGACTGCCCAGAAAGGAATATCAAGATCCGAGTAGGCCTGGCCGAATCAGTTGAACAGACAGTCATCCGAGTACTGAAGGACGACAAGGAAATATTTGCTTGGGGGCCTGAGGACATGCCAAAGGTCGACAGGTTGATCCTAGCCTCAAGCCAGTCATTCAAAAGAGAAGGTACTTGTCTAACGACCGGAGAGATTTTGTAAAAAAGGAAATTGATACTCTACTGGCCGTTGGCCACATTCGAGAAGTGAAATACCCCAACTGGCTGGTGAACGTGGAGTTGGTGCCCAAGCCGCCAGCGTGGAGAATGTGCGTTGATTACTCGGATCTTAATAAAGCTTTCCCTAAAGACCTTTTCCCCTTCCTTGGATCGACTAGCTGGTCGACGATACGGCCAGTTGCGCCCTGCTGAGTTTTATGGATGCCTTCCGTGGGTATCACCAAATATTCATGAGTGAGGCCGACGAAGAAAAGACTGCTTTCATGATTCCAGACGAGGTATATTGTTATAAGGTGATGCCTTTCGGTCTTAAGAACGCAAGGGCCACTTACACTTCTATTGTAGCCCGGCTATTCAAGAGTCTGATTGGTAAGTCAATGGCTGCCTACGTGGACATACTGGTAAAGAGTAAAGTAGAGGAGGATCATGGAAAATATTTGACCGACTACTTTGAAATCATCCTGAGAAAATACAATTTGAGGCTAAATCTCACCCAAGAAGTGTGTGTTCGCAGTTAGGGGAGGGAAGTTCTTAGGATACATGGTGACTTGGCGGGGGATCGAGCCCAACCCGGAGAAAGTCCAGGCTATTTTAGAAACACAGCTTCCTAGCAATCTCAAAGAAATGTAGCACCTTACTAGACGAATGGTCGTTCTCAACCGATTCCTGTCTAAGTCCGCTGGTCGCGCTTTGCCCTTCTTCGAAGCCGTGAAGAAGCTGGAAGGCTTCCAGTGGACTAGGGAATGTCAGGCTGCCTTTGAAGATTTGAAGAAGTAACTCTTAACACCCCCGTTGTTGTCCAAGCTGAAGGAGGGTGAAGTTATGTTCTTGTACCTAACCGCCTCTTAGAAGGCAGTTGGTTCTGTTTTGGTCCGCAAGGAGGATAAGGTGCAACTCCCAGTTTACTACGTTGGCTAGACTTTGAAGGGAGTCGAGATCAAGTACTCGCCACTTGAAAAGGTGGCCTTCGCCTTAGACCTTAGTCACCACCGTGAGGAAGTTGGTCCCCTATTTTTAGGATCATCAGGTTAGTCTTGACCAACTTGCCACTCGCAAACATCTTACGTAGTCCGACCTCACTTGGGCGACTGCTCAAGTGGGCAATGGAACTCACTTAGTATAGAAACGAGTACGCCCTTCGACTATCCATCAAGGCTTAAGGCTTAGCTAACTTCAATGTCGAATGCTCCGCGCAGCCTGACGAGTCTTTGCAGACCGACGAGCAAAACGGGGCCAAGTGGTGGGAAATCCACACAGACGGAGCTGCCAGCACCCGGCACTGCAAAGGCACAAGCATGAAGTATTTGATGGAAGCTAAGCAAATAGATAGATGGATGGTGGTAGAATAAACAACGAGATAAAAGTAAAGAAATAAAGACAGGAAATTAAAAGCAGGGATTGGAATGGGTATATATTGGTCTAATGCTGCTAAACAAAGGATTGAGGGTTCTAAAACTTCACTTTAGGTTCAAAGACTGCCAACACCAATTCGATGTACTAACAAAACACTCCCGTGATCCATTGTTAGGCCGAATCAAAATACGGGGGTTGTCCCACGCACTCTCGTGACGCTACCAATCTCCCTCAATAAGCTCAAGTAGTCTTGACTTTCAACATTCCATACTCCCGTAAGTGAATCTGAAGGTCGTGAGATGTGGTATAAGAGAAATTGATGATTGAGAAACAAGTCTAGGGGTATTCTAACGCATGGGCTCTGTAACACCCCTGATTTCCTTGCCATTTTAAACTTAAATATGGAAGATAATCTCACCACAATATAAGCAAAACACAGCGGAAGTCTAACTATATAAAATTGGAAAACGAAGAGTGTTATGCCACGTCCACACTAAGGTGAACGCACAAGCAAGAACATCATCAACATCAACAGTAAAGTCTAACAAGGAACAAGGTCAAACCAACAACAATTTATTGTTCATCATAAGAGGTACACAGGCCCATAACAAAACTAACAGAGTCCGGGGAACTACACTAGCCATCTCTATATTGTGCTTGCCACTACTCGGGACCTGAAAAGCACATAAGTAAATGGGACGACGTCCGGTCAGCGAATAATGCTCGTAACCCATCAATACGCGTCAATAGCATATATAGATAGATAGTTTATTACAAAATCATTTCAAAACGGAATACTGTATATATTAGTTCAAAACCAAAGATAGAAGTCAACCACAGAACTCTATATCACTCACAACAAGGATAAGAGGAAACACATCCCAAGACACATCAAGAAGTGACAACGATAACACAAGAAAGGCTCAAGGTGTATTCTACCATCACTCAGTAGAATATCACCCGACATGCTCAACAAATGAGGACAAAGGAACACACATTGGCAACACATGCCTTCGTGACATCACTCATCACGAATAGAGAAACACACATCTGCGCACATGCCTTCGTGACATCACACATCGCGAATTCAATAATCCTTCCTTATGCCCGGTTCCAACCTTATGGCTACCCCCAACCTTATAGCTAGTTCCAACCTTTACCTCCAGGACCCCTGTACTCCAAAGTCCAAACTTATGCCTCCGAGGACCGTCGTCCCCACTCCGACAATCTCCAACAATACCACCGATTTCATAGTACACAAGGGTACCGATCACACACATGTCCACAGCCTCCCAAGAAATACGTGAACCTTACACACAGGTCACAAACTCCATAATCACGTCATGGCCACCACGAGGACTACTGTCGTACCTTGGTGACTAATGTCCCATTCCATTAATCGTGCAAACCAGGTACAGCCACACACACAACACCATCATAGGAATCAATCAACGGATCACAACGAAGATATGAAACCATACTCAACAAAGGAAAGGATCGCAATCCGACAACAACGATGACCAACACAAATCATCATCCACAATAGGAGAGAACAAACCACACACGCTAGCATTTAAACACCGAACTAGCATGCTTATCAAACGGGTAAACTAAACATAGTTCCGAAGAACACACAAGACTCATCATGGTTCAACGAATCACAAGGTTGAACACTTAGCACGATTCAAGACACCAAAACTTACATGGATTCCTACCACATAGTTCTAGACATACGAAACATCAAGAAGACACTTAAATAGTTCCACAAAAGAACATCGGGAAGTCAAAACATCGATACCAAGCCAAAAGAATCACGGGGAACAAATCCCCAACAATCAACATATATGTACCCGCGGGTGGGGCCACGGGTGGACCCCCACCCGTGGTTCCGCCCGCGGGAACCATGTCCCTCAACATACGTACCCCGCGGGTGGGGCGGCGGGTGGACCCCTAGCCGCCGTTCCGCTCGCGGGTACAACACCCTGTACCAAAAATATCCCTTCGGGGATTTTCAACACCAAGCTCAAATTCAAGTCCAAAACACCCAAAATCTCACCAAATACAATAAAATGACTTGAATCAAAGGAATAGCCAAGCAATGACATACACGAACCCTAATAACAAGCTCTAGATATGCATTTTCACAAGACAATGCATCACCACTCATAATTCATAGCAAAATCACATGTAGAATCCACGAAATCATCATATAGGTAAGGAAATAGATTTGTAAAGCATGGGTTACCTCTTATAGACAAAACCTTCACTTAAAACACCTTTTCAAGCTCCTAACAAGGTTCACCTTCAACCCCAACTTCAAGAACACACCAAAAGACCATAAAGATTTCATCTTTAGAAAAAGATACCTTAGAAAGCACTAAAAACACAAAAGGACCATAGATCTTACCCTCCTAGATGCTCAAGAGTATGAAAGGTGGAATCTTGGAGACAAACTTTGAAGATCTTGGAAACCCCAAACTTAGCTTGAAGGAAAAGCTAGCTAAATTTCTAGAGAGGAGGAAGAACTTTTGTTTTGAGAGTGTAAGGGAAAGAATGAAAGGTGTCTTCTAGGTTAGCTTGGAATACAATCATGAGGTGAAATGTCTTCATTACCCTTACTAAGATGAAAGAGTGTAAGGAGACAAGGGAACTATTCTCAAAGCTTTAGGTACAACACCTTGACTTGGGTTGACTAGCCAATTACTAGTCCCCGACTATTGAATTTTCAGGAATTAAAGAATAAATTATCAATTGGAATAGGATTAATTACTTAATTAACCCCTAAATAGAATTTGAATTTGCGGGGTGTCACAGGCTCCTTGCTCGAACGGTTGCCAAAATGTCATACTAGACCAGTATTGACAAAGTTGTGCACAAACCCCCATCAACACAAGAACACAATACATCTCACAAGAACAAGAACGCTAGTTTGGGTTTCAAACCCTTTTATGCAATATGCATCAAATAGGCATCAAACACAATATACACCATTATCCAACCCATACACTACACTACACTACTCACTCATAATAAATAGTTAAAATACAATAACATTCAAATAATATCATCTAACAATATATTAAGGAAATAAAGAGAAATAATTCTTCAACAAAGTAAGCTAAGCTAAGAATCACAAAATATAACTTGATAAAACAATAAAATAACAAGGAAATGAAGAGATAACCTAATCTAGAAACTTTCCTACTGCTACTGTTCACTAGAGGCTGCTCTCTACCAAAAACAAGAAAAAGATCTATTTATAAGGGAATTTCAGGGTTTCCGCGCACTAGCCCGGCACATGCGTGCCACTGCCTGTGCGGGTGCACTGACAAGGCACGAGCACAGAGCGCCCGTGCGACAGGTAAGTCGCGGTGGTAGTTTACGCACGGGTGTGCCACTGCCCGTGCATGGCTTTGCCTCCACGCTACGAACCCCGTCTTCGATCTATTGCACGTCTTTTCCCAGGTTTGCTTTCATGTGCTATTTTTTCATGCATTTTTGTTCCATTTTGATAAGCTTTTGCTTCCTTTTCCATTTTCTTCTCTCAAAAGTGTATTGGACGCAAGTGAGCATAAAACACATCTTTTAGTTTCAAAACCCAAATAAACACTTTAAATTGAGTATGAAAAGGGGTTAATAATGGGGGTGAAATATAGGATAAAATAAGACCCATCACTGCCATATCACACCCTATTTTTCCTTTGCAAATACATGTAAACAACAACAACAACAACAACAATAATAATAATAATAATTATTATTATTATTGTTATTATGATAAAACTTATTTTTCCTCCCAGGATGCCACATCATTTTGCGAGTCCCCTCCTTTCAAAACCAAACCAAATGCAATCGGCGGAGAAGAAAGAAAAGTGGGATAAAATGATTAAAATATACTCATTATTTTATCTATTAATATTTTTTAATCACATTTGATTGACAATTTAATTAGCGTGACCAACATTAATAAAATTACATAATTAAGATACTTAATTAACACTTTTAAAAATCATAAATTACAATTAACAAGATCACAATAGTCGATGAACCAAAATTGAAATCTATCCCCCTAATTAGCGCACATACATGTGGCGCACCACTGAATCTACTCCTGAAACGCGGACTTGCTGGAATTTACGATCCGGCCCTTCAACCTCCCCAAGAGCCAAACTCCACCAATTGCGTCTCTACTAAATCACCTTCTTACAAATATATATATACACACACGGAAGATCCGCTTAGCTAAATCCTCGAATTGCTTCCGTGTAAGGGCAGCCACCGTGCCGTGACGGCAGGCGTCGGTTCCGGTCCCCCCCTTTCGGAGATTTTGGCTAATTCCTTAGATTAGATATTTTCAGATCGCGCTTTGATTCCATAATTTGCTAAGTAAACGACAGCATAGTGGGAAGCATTTTTCTCTTACTTCAAGGACACCGCTACCTTTCGCTTCCTTCCATTCCTCATTTCCTTCGATTGTAATTTGTGAGTTATACGTCTTCTCTCTGTTTTCTTCTCGCGCTATATCTACTGGCCTCCGTATATGTTTTAAAGGAAAAAAGAATTTAATTTTTGGTGTATATATGATGCACATTCGTAGATCTGCTTCGGTTATGTTTTAATTTCATTTTATGAAATTGGATTCGTGTTTGTTGTACATTGATGATTGTTTATTTGGTTGAGCTTGTCTTGAATCCGATTATTGAGATGAAAGGTTGCCGTTTTATGAATTTTATTTTGGTTTGGGAGTGGAGTTTTAGATGATTAAGATCTGCGGGATTTTGTGGGTAGGAGTTTCCTTTGAGAGAGCCGTTTAGCTTATTTGATTATCAGAAATGGTGATGAAAAGTTTGGATTATAATTCCACCGTCAAACATTAGTTCTTTAGTGAGACTTTAGTTTCGACCCAATTATTTGACTGTGATGTGAAACTGTTGGGTTTGTTGAAGGTGGTTGACTCTATGGCATGTGTTGGAAAGTCCTCTGATTTACTCAATGCATAGGGGTGGCGTGGAAGATTCAGTTGGCTATGTTTAATTTCTTGGTTGGACCTCTTTGAGGTAGTTTAAGGAGTGTTATGACTCAAGCCCAGGGAAGATGTCCCTCCCAAAAAACAAGCCCTATTATAGGGGGAAGAATCCCCAAGTTTAAGTACCACTTGTCCACTCCACAATCTTCCGATGTGGGGTTGTATCACGGTACAAAAGATTAATCAATGAGTGTCAAATTGTTTCATCACCAGTTCTGTCCGCTGTAGGACTTTGATGTTGTGGACTGAGTATATAATGTTCCAATGCTTAAATGCTCTTGCCTGATGTATGCCGGTGCATCGGGCAAATATCCGGCTATTTTTAGTGCCTATAGATGCAAAAGTTTGTCGCATAATGAAAAACTCTGCTGGATCTTAGTGGTTTTGCAATTTTTCTGCACAATTTGAGGTTCGTCAGCCAGCGTAAAATATATAATAACTTGGTTACAATGGTTAAAAAGAGAGTATGACTTTTATAGACACTAATTGCTTTCAAGATGGGGTTCCATGACTTCCATTCAGAATTAGTTTTGGCCTTGTTTCTACAAGATTGGATTTCATAGTCTTGTTTTTTTTTTTTTGGTGACTACAATCTAACCTATCCGTAGTATCTGCTCAACAACATGATATGCCAACATCCTTGATTGGGATGGGACTCGAACCTGTGACCTTCTGTTTGGAAGGGCCATAACCATGCCATCAAGCCACAAGGTACTTGGCCATGGTCTTGTTTTTATAGGTTAGTTGCCTGAGTATTTCTTTTTACATGCTTGATTGCTGGCTATTTTGGTTCCAATATAATTTTGGCCTTTTTTCTAGGCACAATGGCCTTTTTCCTAGGCACAATGACTTGCATTGAGAATATAGTCAATTTGAGCATTCCAGTGATCTTGTTAAATGCATTGCTGAACTTGGGAGTCTTAGATTTGCCCTCTTTACTGTTTATTTATTATTATGTTTGTCTGAATTGTATGGATAGGAAAAATTGCTCTTTTGAACTCGAAAAAGTCTTCATTTAAAATCTTCTTTTTAATGAAGGACTTTCTTGTACTTACTAAATTGGATCAACTAGGTGCTGGGAATTGTAGCTGGCTGTGCAGATTTACTCCACAAGCTATGTCTCTTGACAGCAAAATATCCTCGCCTCATAGGAGGTCACAAATACAGACCGCATTCTCAGTCTCCTCCCCAACGTTCAAGAGACAAAATTCTCGAAGCGATGACCATGACCTAGGGGGCTGTTCAGCTCTTCTTCAGCGCCACCGTTTCCTCCTTACTGCACTCGGCCTGCTAGCCTTTCTCTGCACCATCTACCTCTATTTTGCCGTCACTCTTGGGCCCAGCGACACCTGCTCTGGGTTCACAGGTGCTGAGAAAGCAGCGTGCCATTTGGAACATGGAAAGGCATTTGCGAAAGGCAAATTGAAGTTCTTCTAGCACATCGATGGCTGGCCTATCTGTCTGCAACTTCTTTGGTTGTAAAAGCATAAAGCTGAATATATTCATTCATATTATTAATGTAGTACGGAGTATATTTTTGTAGTTGATATCTGGGTTGGGTTGTTACTAAAGCTGTTAACTTTGATTGGAGGAGGTGCATCATATGATTGTTCTGAAGAATCATGTGTTGTTGTCTGTAACATGGCAGCTAGCATTCTTTTTGTGATACACAGCTCCATCAATCCATTCAGGGACTGGGCGAAGCATATAAGTTATCGAAACAAACAAAGTGTGTTGGTTTTTCAGTGTTTTTCCTTCTGTCACTATAGACATTAACGGTAGCCATCTCCATAGGTGAGCAAACTTAGAATTAAGAGATTTTTATTTTTATTTATTTATTTTAAATTAAAGCAATAAAAATTTTAAAAATAATAATAATAATATAAAGAGATTTCCTCTAATTTAATTGGGCCGATTAATTGATCAAAATTAAATAAAATAATAATAATAATAATAATAATAATAATAATAATAATAATAATAATATCAGCAAGTCCATCTATAACTGAAGACAAAAATGTCAATTTTTCATATAAGAAAAAACATCCCGAAGTCTTGCTATCATGGCGCCTGGCAAGCACTTTTTGGGTAACTACAAAAGAAAAGCCCAGGGCCACAATTTCACAAAGGCTTGAATTGAACTTAATTGGTATTTTTTTTTTTTAGATCGAACTTAATTGGTATTTAATTCAAAACTTGTGTATCTTATTATTAAATTTGATATTTATTTGCCTATTTTTAGTATTCTACTATTAAATTTAAATAAATACTTTAGTAATTAGGATAATCCCAATTTATTTATTTATTTTATTTTAATTAATTATATTTATTTTTAACTTTAAAAAAAAAATTATATTTATTTTTATTTTAATTTATACGGAGTATTTACTATCAAACAAAAAACTTGTGCTACTCAAACAGGAAAATTTGAATACCCAATTACTATTCTGATTCCAAACCGTATCACCATTTAGATACTCAGATCTGAATTGTATCGTAGGAGCAGGAAAATGGAAAACGAATCTTCTTCGTGATCAGTGTGTGTTTGCTATAACCGAAGCAATCTCCGGAGCTTAAACCCCCGAGTGATATCTTCTTCGAAGCGGTTAATCCTGTGAATTTCACGAGGAGCAATGGCGGATTCCGTGAGGTTCCAACGCCGTAGGATCGATCACAAGCACGTAGTTCCCTCATTCCTACTGTCTCACCGCACTCTCCTCTCTCTCACCTGGGCCATCGGATTTATTCTCGTCGTAGCGTGGCAAAGGAACGCCGTAGATCGGTTGTTTGTGTTCCGTCACTGGGCGCCGCCTCCGAGGCCCATCCCCAAGCTCCGATCGCCGGTCTTCAACCTCTCCGATTTTGGAGCTGTCGGCGACGGGGTGACTTTGAATACCAAGGCGTTTGAGAGGGCGATTTCTGAGATTCGGAAGCGAGGTGGCGGCCAGCTCAATGTCCAGCCTGGCCGTTGGCTCACCGCGCCTTTCAATCTCACCAGCCATATGACGATGTTCCTCGCTGAAAATGCCGAAATACTTGGAATTGATGTAAGTATCATGTGACCTTTGCTTATCGCTGTAAATTTCGATTTACCTTGAAAATTTTGGAACGGAATGGAGCAACCGAAGTACATTTCCTGTTTTATATTTCTATTTCTTTCCACGTGCATCAAACATAAGAGCATTCTATGCTGTTGCCAGAAGGACTGGAAATTTAATTGATCTGCTATTCATCCCGTTTATGTGCCTAGTTTTCAATTGAATGTAGTTTCATCTGAAATTGAAGTAGTTGCTGAGTATATAATATATACACACATAAATGTGTTGAGATGGAGCACATGCTCCAATTGTAGTTAAGGTACATATAAATATGCAGTGAATTTAGTTTCTCTGTAATGGCTAAAACAGTTTAAAATCCATATATGCTTAAACAGTAATGATTAGTTCTTGTATTATATATATGAAAATTTATTTATTAATTGAGTAGGAATGTTAAAATGCTTCCCCTAATCACTGCTAGATATAAGGATTTTTTTAGTTATTTGAAGTTTCTATAAACAAACTTATTAGTGTTCTGTGCTAATGGAAGGATGAAAGATATTGGCCATTAATGCCTCCTTTGCCATCATATGGACATGGAAGAGAACATCCTGGACCACGGTATGGAAGTTTTATCCATGGCCAAAATCTGACGGATGTTGTTATTACAGGTCAGTGTAGTTCCATTTGTAATAAACATGCTCTAAAACTGCAGTTGCTACTTACAATTTGCATAAAATTTTATTCTTATATTTATGAAAATGTAGTCATTTCATCTTGTATTGAAAGTTAGAAGTGGTTTTCTGTCTGTCCATGTGCAATGAGATTGAATTCTAGTAAAAAATTGCTTGCACCTCTAAATACAAGTGCCTCAAATTCTCATTTCAAATGTTTCTTTAAGTAACATATTTTTAATCTTCCAACTTCACATAACTGAACAACAGGGCATAATGGCACCATCAATGGACAAGGCCAAGTATGGTGGGGAAAGTATCGTAAAAAGTTGCTGAACTTCACTAGAGGTCCTCTTCTGCAAATCATGTGGTCCAGAGACATACATATCTCTAATGTTACTTTTCGTGATTCTCCATTCTGGAACCTTCACCCTTATGACTGTCAGAATGTTACAATTAAAGGTGTAACTATACTGGCTCCATTGTCCGGTGCCCCTAACACTGATGGAATAGATCCTGGTCAGTTCAAATCCCCATTGCACATATGGTTATTGTTCCCTATTTTCCATTTATATACATTCTTGAAGAGCAGGAAGGGCAATCATGCTGCACTAGATTTTATACTGAAGGATGGACATTGCCAAGCTTTGAATGATGGACAGCTGCATAAAATATAGCATTACTAGTTTATTGATGATCTGTTTGTAGATAATATCAAAAAGCATGACTTTGTAATTAATAATACCAGTTAGGCTGCTGTGTTAATTTGTTAGAGATTATTTTGTATTGCCATGCACAAGTCATGGCTATCTAATACCTTCATGCAATTTTGTTTGCTTAGATATTCTGTAGTAACTATCTCATCTGAGATTATTGTTGTTGTTTGTGCAGATTCCTGTGTGAATATGGTTATAGAGGATTGTTATATCAGTGTTGGGGATGATGGAGTTGCAATTAAGAGTGGGTGGGATCAGTATGGAATTGCTTACTCTCGGCCTTCCTCAAACATTACAATCCGTAATCTCATTGTGCGCTCAATGATAAGGTGATATATGTTTTCTATCAGATTTCTAGTTTCATTGATGTGAATACCCCTCTATCTTAAATGCAGATATCTGACCACCTGAAATTGCATTATACATTCTCAATATGCATATGTGAGCACATTCATTTTCTCGAGGAAAATGAATAAACTTCTTAAATGGCATTATTGGCAGCTTTATCAACATAAAATTTTATAGGGATAAGGGTCTATTGTACTTTCATGAATAGTTCAAGGGCTTATTTGACCCTTATCCCAATTTGATAAAATATTATTTATGACAAGAAATGAATTGAGAATTTGAATGTATGAATTAATTTCAGAGTAGAAAAAACCTGCTTTATCAACTTTCATACAATAACCCCCCTCACCTCAACACCCTTATATTTTGTTCATTCAGCTGAATTTTTTCATTCATTGCAGTGCTGGAGTATCAATTGGCAGTGAAATGTCTGGTGGGGTATCAAATATAACAGTGGATAATCTCCTTGTGTGGAACTCAAAGAGAGGCATCCGAATTAAGACAAGTCCTGGGAGAGGTGGATACATTCAAAATATAACCTACCGCAACCTGACATTGGAGAATGTCCGGGTTGGTATAGTGCTTAAAACTGATTACAATGAACACCCTGATGAAGGATATGATCCAAAGGCTCTTCCAACTATTAAAAACATAAGCTTCACTGGCATCCATGGATATGGAATTCGTATCCCAGTCCGTATATATGGCAGCGCTGAGATTCCTGTGGAGGATGTTACTTTCCAGAACATGTCAGTTGGCATAACATACAAGAAGAAGCACATCTTCCAATGCTCTTATGTCAAAGGGCGTGTGATCGGTAAAATTTTCCCTGCTCCATGTGAAATTCTCGACTTATATGATGAAGCAGGACACCTGGTTCGGCAATCAAAACCACAGAATAGCCTTGACAACACAGATTATGATTCTTAATCGTGAGTAGGGACATCATTTTAACAAGTTTATGATGTGGTTATAGCCTGGTGACTTTTTAAAGTTGGACCATGGTAAAACATGTTACTGGTCATTAAGCTTGAATTGCAGGAATTGAAACGAAAGGACCTTTACACACACGACATGACTACTTAATTGCTGGGAGAATCTGAGCCCTCAAAATTTTGGCATGGCTGCATGGGGCTTTTATCACCTCCCTCTTGCCAGTGCTCAGTTCTCAGTACTCGTGAGAAAAAGAAATGGTCTTTCTACCAATTCAGTGTGCAAATGATGATTATTGGAAGGTGCAAAGGGTCGAAGATCATTCTGATATTACGGCAGAGAATGAAGATTGTGATGACGATTATGTAAGTCTCCTCACTGTGTCATTCCCCAACTGTATTGATAGGAAGAGGAGATCGAAAGAGTATGTGAGTATTTACTATATATGACCTTTTAGATTAACAGAAAACAGATGCACTAGATTGACACTCTTACTTCTTGTCAAGGCCTCAAGGGAACCCAACTTTGGCATGTGATTGTCGGGGCTCGGGGGGACGAATTCAATGACAAGTCATAACTGTTTGTATGCTGATATTTAGATGAAGCTTTTAGCAATTGTTAATCTTCTATCATGCACAATATCTAAAACCATTGAATTTGCATTGTTTTTTGTTATTAGCGATCTCAATAGAGTGAAGTTGTGGGCACTATTTTTTAGGCAGACAATACTGACGTATCAAGCAAACCAGCCACCTCTGTTAGAGCAATCGTTATACCTGCACCACGGTACACATAGCATTATGCGCCCCGCGCCTCCCAAAACGACGTTGTTTTGGGAGGCGCGGTAGGGAGTTGACGTGATTATGTGTATTTGTTTATACAATTATGTGTATTTGTTTATACAATTATGTGAAACGACGTCGTTTTATATCAGGGCGCACAATACAATGCGCACCCTGGTGCACGATATAAATTGCCCTGTTAGAGCATCTTCAATACTTGGGGTTATTTCCCCAGTTTTTTTGGACCCCAGTAT